CGGAGATGCGGTGTTGATTCTGGATCTGGTACGACTGGCACCAGGCCTCGTATCCAATGCCACTGACGGCTCTGGTGAAGTCTCTCCACCAGTGGACTGACTTGAACGTATCTGGAACGTCCATCTCGACCGCTTCGATGAATGCTTCTTCCCATGCCGTCAACCAAGCGCGCATGTCCTTCGGGTGTCGGATAAGTGGTTTGACCGCTTGTCGGTATTTGTCGCGAGCTTCTTCGTCTTCCTCGCCCGATGTCGATCCGACTTGTCGTTTTAGTGCTGCGTACCACTCGACGAGAGTCTTATGTGGACGACAACACGTCTTTCGAAGATGGGGTGCCACCGTGTCATAAACCCAGTTGGAGAGGGTGAGGACGGATTTGGCCTGGATCTGGTAGGCGTCTTTCCGGATCTTGTATCGAGACATCGCAGCGTGGTAATCGGCTTTGCCAGACTCCGTGAGATTGCTCGGCATAATGTCGTCTTCGGGGTCGTAGTACTGATCCGATTCGTCGTCGTTGTCTCGGCCCTCCTCCTAGTGGTATGCGTGATGATATCGTGTGTGTGGTGGCGAGTGGGCTGTGCCGCTGTGGTGCGGAGTGGAACAACCCCTCATTCACCACCGCCGCTCCGGCTCCTCCGGCGCCAGCACTCTGCAGTGTGGCGAACATGCTGCCGGAAGCGATGTTTCCTATCGCGCTGTGGGCGGCAGCAGCTGCCGAGTCCATAACAATCGTCAGCTCCCGATTCCCAAAACAGGGATCGTGATGGATTGAGGGATTGACGACTGGAACTCGCAACGACACCTGGGCGCCGAACCCGGCCGCGTCCAGCGCCGGGGACGGTAAGAAGCTGGGGAGCCACAGCTAGGGCTGCGCCGGTCAACATGGCGGCTGTGAGATAGGGGTCGTCACCTGCGAATTGGGATTGGGAGGTCTGATTGAGCCGGCGGCGTGGTCAATCGTCATCTGTGTACTTGAGGTATCATGAGTGTGTAAACAGTAATGGGTCCCTTGAGGGCATCTCGTGATTGACCTGGTAGATAAGGTAGGTCGGTAAAAACGCAGCATTTTGGCGGCTTTTCAGTTGCCTTTTTTTTTTTTTTCTGGGCGACGTCGACTGGCCCTCTGATGGCGTGCTGTCTGGACTTCTGACAACTGCGTGGCCAAGAGCATCCATCACCACGATGATCATAGATGTGAAAAGATTCGCTCCCTTAGCTACCTAGGCTATCGTATCTTCCAATGCCAGCTCCCATTACGGATTCTCACAACAGCTTTCAGTTCTCAAATGGTGGTGAGGCCCATGCAAGGAACCGAAACATGAACGAGGAGGTGCCGTCTACACCGTCTGCTGCAGTCTGCCCAGCATGAACTGATCCAGGAACTGCATGCTCTGTTCCATGTCCGCCTTGAGCAGTGACTTCCCTGCTGTCATTGGGAGCCTCTCGGGGGCGGGCACCGTCAAGTAAACTTTGGCGCGGCTGCGGTGAGCCGAGCGAAAGAGCTGAATATGCTCCGTTAGCCTCCATATCTCTTTCTCGAGTGTCGAGTAATCTTTTTCACGTGCAGGAAGGGGTCAGACACCACGTAAACATACCCTGAGCCTCTTCACAGTCTCAGCCAACTCGTCCCGAATGCGTCCCTCCACGCCCTCCTTGCCGAGCCGATGACGAAAAGCGTGTCTGCCCACGGCCGCGCAAAACTCCCGCTGCAGCCGCGGCACGTTCCGCTCGAGGACTTCCCTCGGCAAATACGGCTCCAGCCCCAAAAACGCATCCAGCACCTGGAACAACAACACCTGGTTCCCGCTCAGCCCATCCACCGTCTCATGACACTCGCCATCGCCGCTGCCGGCGTCCTTCTCACAACCTTGACTTGAACGAAGGCCCCACGCGTAGAATCCCTGCACCCGGCTCAGCCACACGGCCCGGGCAATCGTGCCGTCGTGCACCCGCTCGTAGTAGCTCCCCAGCGCGGGCCGCAGCTGCGCGGCGACAGCCCGCACGTGCGCCAGGCACGCCGCGCCGTCGCCCTGCGCGAAGGCCACGATGGCCCGCACCACGTCGCCGTACACGGGCACCGCCAGCCGCTCCATCTCGCGGGCGACGCGCGCGAACGCCTCCTCCGACTTGGGGGCGGCGTTCCTTTTCCCCTCCTCGGGCGGCAGGCCTGTGTTGATTCGGTACACGTACTTCTCCTCCTCGTGCCCCGGGCCGGAGGAGGAGCAAAAGTTGAGGACCAGGTTGGCCGTCATGTTGCCCGCGTCCGAGGTCAGGCCGAAGTGCGCCTGCAGCGATGCCCAGGGCGCGGTTAGCTGCGCGGGGAAGGAGACGGTCCGTTCGAGCTGGGCGACTTTTACCGCTGGAATGGTGCCCCAGCTAAAATCAGGGGAAGAGGGTGGGTTTGTTAGTTGCACCTTTTTTTGTTTTTGTGGCGAGTGCCTTATGTAAGGTAGGTAGGTAGATTCGGGGAATGGACGGAAAAGGGTTATCTATTATGGGTAGGGCACAGCGGTGTAGGAATAATAATACTAATAATGATAGTAATATTATGGGTTGGTTTATTTCTGGGTTAGGTTGTTTGCGTACCGGTATGCATGCCGACACCAGGCGATGCAGCTGTAGAAGGCGTTGTACACGTCGCGCGGGAACACGTCCCAGCGCCCTGCATCTGCGGCCTCGAGCAGTTGGGTGACTTCCCGGAGGCTAACTCGTTCGCGCAGCAGTTGGTCGAAGCGAGAGCGGAACTGGGCGATCCTTTGTTTGTTGAGCTCGTCGTCGAGGGAGACCTCCGCGGCCGGGAGCAGGGGTGCCATCTCATAATAAATCTCCTTGTAGGGTCTCAGAGCTGCTGGCCACGTCGAGTGTTCGTGGTTGGCTCGTGGTGGCCATGATCCAGCGCCGTCCTTGCGGATGAGCTCATCCAAACAGGCCGCCGTCTCGTGGTACTCGGCCAGGTCTGCGACATCCTTGATTGTGTCTCGGGCTGTCTTGCGCCTTGCCATCTTGCAAGAGCGGAACTTGGATAAGACGAGTCCCACATGCTTCATGCCCTTCAGCCACGAGGACGGTGTGCTGAAGGCAGCAATGACGCCACAAAAAATTGGGAAAAGGATAAATCCAGTGTTGAAAAGCATGGTTCCTTGGAGAATTGTTAGAGTCCGACGAGGGGATATCGAGTATCGAGAATGCACCTGAAGTTGTCTTGATAACTGCTGTTCGGCGTTTCCGTAACACTCTACGTCGAGAGGTGTGCTTCTGCTTATATGTAGAACTAGAAATCAGTGCCGGGCTGCATTGTTGCCATAGACATACCCAGAAGTATGAGAATTGGGCGATGCAGGATCATCTTTCGGCAACACGGCTGTGCCCAGCCCCTGGACGAGTCACCGACACCCCGTGTACGAGGAGGAACATCACGTATCGACAGGGTTGCGTGTGGTGCGGTGTTTTCCAATGGCATCTGTCACCAAAACCGGCTTACTACTTTCGTCTCTGGCGCCGGTAGTCTTCACCTCAGAGCTGGTGATAGGGATCGATCTCGCCTGTTGTCTACAAGGAATCGACCTAGCTAACTTGTGCCAGGGACTCGGATTCGCGGTGGCCATCTCCAGTAATAGTCGGCGTCGGCCCGTCCCTAGCCAATAACAATGCCAAAACAGAGCGGGTTGCTCCGAATATTGTCATCATTGTGAATTTTAGTCTATTATATGAAGATACTCGTGACCGGATGCTGCTCAGTCCATGATGTCGGCGTCGGGTTCGGAACTCCAACGGATACGCTACCTTATGGAAGGACCTGTAATCTGCCTGCCGCCGGGGTTCCGCTCGGAGTTAGGTACTGCACCTTAATTGAGTGGCCAAGTTGGTGTCCGTTCCCGCCCTTCCTTTGGCGCTAGGGGTCGACTTTCCCCTGTATTTCTCAGCTGGTCCAACCAGGTGGGAGCGGCAGAAAAGTCAACGACCCATTGGATGCTGAGGTCCCATCTTAGCCCAATCGCCGTGCGCATGTCTCTCGATCGGCCGAATCCTGGTCCGCAGCGACCCCCATGGAGCTGAACCTCCCCGATCTCCAGATAATATCGTGATGATCTTCACAGCTTCGGTACGAGGACCTTCAGCACCCATGAATAGCCCCTGGCCAAAATCGGGGAGCCAATTCTCTTAGGAGGAGGTATTCGGCGTCTTGGTCACATTGGCGCCAATGCAGACTCACATCGACACTTGCATGAAACGGGGGATGATCATGCCAATGACATCCCTGTCGGGGTGCAGGCAAAGAAAGCTGAGGAAAGCGAAGCTGCCAGGACCCGGGGCCACGGTTCATTGGATAAGAACAGGACGAGAGTGAAACCGTGCGGCTGAGCACGGACGGGGAGAGGTTCACGCTGCCTGGCGAATGATAACCAGTAAATAAGGTACCTGACTATATCATACAAGCGGTAAAGTCCAAAAGGTTTTTGGGTAACTTATTGGCTCAGAAATCGGCGAGAATACTGCGAATAATTTCTGGCTGACGCTGCCAAAAGCAATGAGCACCCCGGGCCGTGGATGTGCATTGCCAATCGCGTTGGGATACTCCCATCCAGCCGCGAGACGGCCGTGACGGCCTCTCGCTTCAACTCCTGTCAGAACAAATAAACAAGGATCGGCACGAGGAGCAGGGCTTCTGTTACTCGACAAAAGCATTGCTTGGCTGTCTGCATTTGCGCGTCATCCAGTACGAAAGCTCAAACAAGGGCCTGTTGATTCACACACACGAGACCACAGCACTAACGAACTTCCATGCATGTCGGCACAAACCACCGGTGCCTCGTTTGGGAAGCGGCAGAGCATGATGGAGGAACAATGGACTGTACATGTGTCTTTTGAGAGGGAGCAGAGCACGACGGAGAGCCAGAGACAGTGGCTGCGGCCGGGCTGCGGCCGGGAAAAGAAAGATAGATGGTCTCTGGTCAAGATGGGAAACGCTTGGAAGGCTTCTTCACGTGGTAATAAAAGCAAAGCCTGTCATTTGGCGCCCGTCCGTCCACTCTCTGTGCAAGTTTGCCGCTTCTTAAGAGTCAGCCCCCTTTCCGGCCTCCGTCGTAGGGTCACCAGACCTCATCACGGATTGATTAAGCCGTCGTTTGCCTTGGTTACGTTGTCCGTTCTTTCATTCCGCGTCAATCGACGTAGCCAGTACCGTGCTTTCCATTGGAACTTGTTTAGCTTCGTCAACATCCACCATGTCGAATTCAGGGGTATGGGGTGACGTTCCACCTGGGGTGGACCTTGCCGAGGACCAAAACGAGGCTATCATCGGTTCAGTTATCGCCATCATGGTCATCGGACTTGCCGCCGTCATCTTACGTCTGTTCACGCGACTAATGAAGGCGGGACCGGGGTTGGCTGTCGATGACTACGTGATCATGTTTGCAGCGGTGAGGGAAACCAAATGACCTTTCCGTGACAAGTCTGAGCGGAACGAGAGAAGCTGACACGACGACAATACAAGGTCATGGGGATTGGGACGGCCGTGTGCTGTCTCATCAGCGTTCCCTATGGCGGAGGGAAGCACCTCTGGGTTGTGACGGCGGACGAGTTCACAAAGCTCTACCAAACGACTTACGCTTTTGTCATCGTCTACATCACCTGCATCTCGGCAACCAAGGTCTCCATCTTGCTGTTTTACCGCCGCATATTTGGCACCGGTGTGATATGGTACATCGTGTTTGGCTTGGCTTGTGCCCACTGGGCCGAGGTCACCATCACATGGCTCGCAGGGTGCCGGCCGATCAGCTACTACTGGAGGCAGTACACCGATCCGACTGCCACGGGAACATGTATCGACGCTCCGCTGTTCTACTTTTGCAATGGGGTGATTGGCTTGGTGATTGATGTGGCCATCTTGTTGGTCCCGATCCCAACGAGTAAGTTCGGTGGCATAGCACACTAACAACAAGCCGAGCCTTTCGGGATGCCCTCAGTCATCTTCGGAATGCCTCATACGGTATACCAGGCCGCTAATTGTGCAACAGTCTGGAGCCTGCGCTTGCCAACCACCAAAAAGATCTTTATTGGCGGGATCCTTCTCATCGGCGGTTTGTGCGTCTCCAACCTCGTCTCTTCCCCTTGTCCTTGTCCCTTGATATTCCAGGGGTTCAAAGGCTAATCAATGACTGGTCCGGTATCTACAGTGTCTGCGTCGCCTCGGCCGTCCGCATCGTGATGATGGATCAGCTCGTGAAGTCACCCGACTTCACATGGTCCATGGCCAAGGTCTTCATCTGGTCCTGTTGCGAGCCGTTCATTGGCATCGTGTGCGCCTGCCTGCCCACCTACGCACCCCTTGTCCGGCGCTTGTGGCGCCGACATGATGGCCACACCAATTCCAACACGCCCGAGATGTACGCTTCCGAAAAGTCCAAGACGGCCAAGCGACCGAATTGGAGCACCAGCAGCTGGAAGCACCGCACAGTGTTGCGCGGGGAGGATGAGCTGGAGTTGACGGTGAATACAGCCATTGGGACGGGATCTGCGGAGGAGAAGAAGTCAAAGTTGGGCGGCCTATCAGACTGGAAGAAGGGTGATTCAGAACTTGACCCAAACGAGATCAGGGTGACGAGGGACTTCTACTGGAGCGATAGCCCTTGACATCTCGTGTCCTTTGTCGAAGGACTGTTCTGCGGGCGGAAGGATTGGAAGAATTTGGGATATTTTGGGCAGATGATCGGCGACAGATATCTCGGGTGGTCTCATGATGAAGCTATGATGGATTCTCCAACTTACTAGTAATATGTAATACTTAGTTAACTCATGCTGATACCAATTTCGGCCCAGATTTCTAACGCAACCCTTCGTGTCCTAGGTATGATGGCATTGACTCGATCAGCTAGAACTTTCTCTTCTATCCATCCTCCCGAGATAAACTTTTATGCACCCGCCTTGGAGGTCACCTGCCCGACTACACTGGCACTCTCTCCACACAAGCACGCGCAGGTGGCTTCGCCCACTCACTGGCCGTCACCCTCAGGTCTGGTCACTGACTGATAATGAGTTTGTTCGATATATCAACCGGGTGCGGTTGTCAAGTCGAGCAAGCACTCTGTTCCAAACGAAACCGGTATAACGCGCCTCAAACTCAAAGCAATACCTCATTCTATGTATCCATCACACTATGTATCCCCATTGCACTTATCACCCGCAATTACTTATTACCATTACTTAGCCTCAAACGAGGAAAACCACCCAAGGTTCGCACCGCGTATCCTAAACCTCACTCAGCTCCATCCGGTCCTCCCTCCGCCACACACAAATTTTTCAAATTACCACCTCAAAACACGGCTCCCGCTCACCCCCCCCGCCGTTGTCGTTGCTGTCGCCATCAAACCAGTCCCACGACTTGAGCGCAATGTTCCTCGGGCTCCGCTCCTCGTCCTCGGCCGAGACGGGCCCGGCCACCGTGACGACGCCGACGCGCACGCCCTCAGACGCGTACGCCAGGCTCAGGCTCTGCACGAGGTTCCGCTGCGCCGCCTTGGCCAGGGAGAGCGAGAAGAGCTGCGGGATGGGCTGGTGCGGCAGCGCCGAGCTCGTGACAATGAGCGCCGGCCGCGCCGCCTCAGACTCAGAGGTGGTGGTGCTGCCCCGGTGGTGGGCCGCCGTCTTGTTCATCTTGGCGAGGGATACGAGATGCGGCATGTACCGTTGCGAGACTGTGTACAGCGCGCTGACGGTGATCTGGTTGCGTGTACGCCAGGGTTGGGTCGCGGTTCGTCAGTACAGCACACCGCTCACTCGATTTCGATTCCATCCGACCGTGAGAGGAAGACGGGGTGGGAGAAGACAGGATACGCAACTGAACTCACCTTGAGGTCGTACTCGATGTCCTCGACGGGGTGGGCGAAAAAGGTCGAGGGACGGACACGGGCGGCGTTGTAAAACACCACCTCTGGTTTGCCAAACGCTGCGTCGGCGTCGTCGAGAGCCTTGAAAAGTTCCTCGGTCCGCGTGGTGTCGACAGCATATGTCCTGACGTTGACCCGGCCGTGGCCGACGATGGTCTCGACCGCCTTCTTTTCGACGAGGAGGTTTGCGGCGCGGCGAGCAATCAGCACAACATTTTTGTATCGCTTGGACGCAAAGAGGCTGGCCACACAGCGGCCGATGCCCGGCCCGGCCCCGAGAACAAGGATCGTCCTATCCTGCATTGAGAGTAGCAAGGGGAGGGTGTGACGGAATGTGATGGTAAGTTGGCGAGATGTCGAGCGATGATTCAGTGACCGGGAGTCAAATGACTGGACGGATATCTGATCTTTGAAGGGACAGTATATATACTTCTCAAATGCCTCGACCTTTTCCACCGCCTTTCCCCTCGCGCGCCAACCAACGGATCGTTCACCGGGATTGCGACTTGGACGTCGACGCAGCTGTCGCAGGGTCGGTGGGCGAAGCATTCATCGTCAGTTGCTTCTCTCTTTCTCGATGTGTTGGGGCTTGCAGGCGCCTTCATTGCTACATCCTTGCGACTTCCTGGCTGCAGCATCTGACTGGTCTGCGCTCTGCAACTCGAGATCCTCGAATGATGACGGTCCTCAGCTAGAAAGTGGGGAGTGCCCTCTGATACTCGCTTGGCCGATGTGTGATGACAGAGAGTGGCGAGCTGAAGCCCGATGATCCTTATAATGGAATCTCGGGAAGATGCGGATGTATTCCGACGTGTTCATTAGCGCCAACGTGGCAACTTTTGCGCAGTGCAGCACTGTACGGAATAATCCGTACATGGATCTAGTTATATGTAATCTGTACGGATGTACAAGGTATCCAGACAACCGAAATGCAAAGCGCACATATCAGCTTGGTCTTCCGTATTATTTTTGTGTGAGGATTCACTCAGACTTAGCTTTAGGTAAGGGGCATTGCTTGTAGTTTTATTTGACACCCCACGACGCCAGGGTAGCTTACGAAGAGGCACCTGAATGCAGGGGCTGGGCACTGTTGCACAATGCAGTAAGCGTGGAAGACTCGTCACCCATTTAAAAGCAGGGTCTGGCGAGGGCTCCGAAGCCCTCGGTTCTTTCAAGCAACACACACGTGACGCACTGTTCAGCAGCCAATTCGAGCTTCATCTTGTGCCTCAATTGATGCAGTATCACCTGGTTTGTCTAGGCCTATTCGAGCCTGTAACTGTTGCTGTCCAACAGTTATTTGTAATCTGTACCTTATAGATGCAACGTGGCGCAGCAGAGATTGGTCTCCGAGGCGAGCCCCGAGGCGAGGGGCAGTGCAAAAGGTCGGGTGTCTCTCCCGGAATCGGTAATTGCAATGGAACCCTCAAAGCCTAGAAATCGCGTGACGAGTCTGCTAAGGTTGGTTGACCAGCGGTCGATGTTCCTCACTTGGTTGTTCAGCGGAGACTGGTATTTTCCTCGCCGATCAAGATAGGACTTAAGGTTCTTGGATGCTCGCATAACGGGGTGAAGGTTGCCCTCCACCGCGAGCCTCTCAATCCAGCTGAGCATATTCGTCCGCAAGAATGGGTCGATCGCCGCCAACAGCTTTTCGTTTTCAGAGGAGGCGGACGCGATGTGCTCCGAGAATCGCGTGAGAGCATAGTCCAGGAACGGTGAGGCGGGTGGGCGCGCTTGAGAGAGGAGGCGTCTGTTGCGGGGATGTCGCATTCCGCTGCTGCAGAGCAGTTGTAGGCATATGAGTACGATTCGTTCGGGCGCTAGCGATGTCGAGGCGGCAAATTCGCCGGCTGCCTCAAACACGAGGAATTCGCGGACCGTCGGATGGATGAGATCGATCAAGCCGGAGTCTTGATCGATGGCCACGAGCTGACCACAGAGTCCTTCAACAGCACTCTTCGCGCTGGGGAGTACCGTGTTGATGTCGAGCTTCAGACCCTGCGACAACTCTGCTGTAGTCAGCGTGCGGGCACTTGTAACGGCACACATCAGCACCGCTTTTGCGATGTGTTTGTCCAGGGTGTGTGTGATGGCGGCCATGGTGTTGATGGTCCTCTCGTAGGAGCAGTGCATGCCTTCTGGATTGCTGTCAAGAAACTTGACGATGCTCTCATTTGAATAGACATTCACCAACTCGTTTATAATAAGCCAGACCCAGAGCAAGCATACTTTGGATTTGCGAAGGATCTCGTGGCCAGCTGTTCGCGTTCCGCGGCGTTGTCAACTGGGAAACCATCTACGCGATTTGACGTAGCGTCGAATGTCGCAAATACTGGCTTACATAGGGATCTTCATACAGACCAACGAGGCCGACGGCTCAGAGGCTCGATGTAGCCGTTGTATGTCGCCAAGCACGCAGCTCGCCATGAGGATACGAAGGGGGAAGCCGGGACTCTCGCCCTTCAACATCATGAAGAGTTCTTGATATTTGCTGCACTTGTCCAGGGCGTCGATGACCCATTACTGTGGTGCGTATACACGGGTCTTTGTAGTGTATCAGTACGGGCTGCTTTGTGAATGCTTGCGGGAAGTTGTTCGTTTACCTGGAAGATTCCTTCCCCTGGAAACCTTGTCGTAGATAGTCCGGGAGTCGTTTATGTCGAAACTTGATCCTCCTTGTGCCAGCTTAGAAAGTATGTCGCGGATGGCGGTATTTGACGGGGCTATCTGATACGCCATTGACCTTAAAAATGTGCCTAGAGAGCGAGAGTCCTTCTCCCCAGAGTGGAAGCAATGCTGTGCACACTCGAGATGTAATTCCTGGAGCTGGGACGCGGCGTAGGAGGCAAGAACCGATTTGACTGTCCCGGGCTTGGCATAAACCCAGAATATGGCAACGGTCTTACTCTTTGCGGCCGTCGTTTCTGGAACTGCCAAGTCAAATGGGTGGTTTCTCCATTCTTGGAAATCATCCGGGGTGTTGATCCATTCGCATGACCTTTCCGCCTTTTGAGGTTTACCCCGTTGTCAGGTTTGTGATGTACTGGCGAGAGGATAGGACTCCAGAGAGGGAAAGAATATCATTCAGAGGAAACCGGAACCACGGCAAAACAAAGCCGATTCTTGACTACTTGCGTAAAGTCTTCAAAACCGGCGCCTTTCGAAAGCTCTGAGAAAACCTTATCTAACTACGCCGACTGCACGCCCGCGCACTTTGCTGCGTGGCCGCGGTGGGTGTGGAAAGTAGGGCGATTCGAGGTGCTGCAGACATCCCGAAAAACTCTCACCAGCGCACGGACCAACAGGTCACCTGACTCCCACCCACAGTTGCCCAGGCGACCATGCCCTAGTGCCCCTGAGCCCCTGAACCCCTGAACCCTCGAGCCCTTGCATGGGACAGGATGACCGCCCCCACCCCTCCAACTGAAGGGAGAGGAGAAGGACCGGCCCAGTCACGGCACTCAAGCGGCCCTCCGACACCTCCTCGTTCCCCCCCACCCTCTGACATCGACGTTATCAAGAACATGGTCGACGGATTGGTAGCATTGGCAAACTCAGAGAAGAAAGGGACCGCCAGAGGCATGGGGCAAGACCTCCTCGCAGCTGTTCGCAAGCTATACAATGCGGCCCAGAACCAAACAGGAACCATTTCACTGGCCAACCTCCGCAAAGTGGTAGCCGAAGAACTCAGGG